GAGGTCTCGCCAAGTTGCCCAGGCGGGTTTCGAACCTGCGGGCTCAGGCAATCCACTCACAAAATTTTTTTTTAAAACATTGATGGGTTCGTTTTATACCTGTTGTTTTATAGCCTGTTCAGCTTTCTTGGGTAACTCCCATGTGCATTTAAATTGACCTCACTTTTTTGGAAGTCTGTGAAGTGTTGCAGAGCATGAATGTACCACGTTTGTCTTACTGTCTCCTAATACATGCTTGGTTTGTTCCCACTTCTCCCTCCTTAAAATCTTTCCACACTTCTCTTTTTCTTCACCATCTTCCTTTAGTGCAGTCTGTCCTCGACATCAAGCCAATTTGATTTTTGAAAAAAATTTTGATTTTAGTTTTTTTATTTTGAAATATTTCAAACCTACAGAGAAGTTGCAAAAGTCATATAATGAGCTTTACCTAAACTACTAATTGTTAACATTTTGCCATATTTCTCCTTGCTCTGTCTTTCTACCTATTTTGTGTATCTATAAAACATTTTTGGCTGAACATGGTAGCTAATGCCTGTAATCCCAGCACTTTGGGAAGCTGAGGTGGGAGGACTGCTTGAGCCCAGGAGTTTGAGACCAGCCAGGGCAACATAGCAAGACCTCGTCTTTACAAAAAATAAAAAAATTAGCCAGGCATGGTGGCACACACCCATAGTCCCAGCTGCTTGGGAGGCTGAGGCGAGGATTGTCTGAGCCCTGGAAGTGTGGTGATATGTGATCGTGCCACCACACTCCAGCCTGACTCAAAACAAAAAACAACAAACAAACAAAAACATATTTTTCTGGCCTATTTGAGGGTAAGTTGCAGAAAGCATGAACCCTAAATACTTCAGCAGGTATCTTCCTTTTTTTATTTTTAATTTTTTTATTTTAAAGATGTGGGGCACAGTTCAGCATTAGGTATACAAATGTTCATTATGCAGGTACCCTTGTTGTGTGCTCCCTTCCCCCGGCAGATTCCCACTACTGCCAATCCTGCCCCCGCCCTCCCCTGGCAGTTTCCCTCTACTGCCACTCCTTTTCTTAGAGTATTACGATAGTTATTCAAGGTCCACTTATAAGTGAGAACATGTGGTACTCTGTTCTTTGTTTCTGTGATAGGTCACTCAGTATTATAGATGCTAAGTCTATCCAGGTTGCTGTGAAGTTCATAATTTTGTCCTTCTTTATGGCTGCATAATATTCCATCATGCATATGTACCACATTTTTTGTTTTGTTTGTTTTTACTTTTAATTTTTTTATTTTAAAGATGTGTAGTACAATTCAGGGTTAGGGATACAAATGTTCATTATGCAGGTACCCTTGTTGATGAGGTATGTCCCCCCCATCCCAGCAGATTCCCACTACTGCCAATCCCACATCCCCCCTGCTCACTCCAGCAGTTTCCCACTACTGCCAATCTTTTTCTTATAGTATTATGATAATTTTTCAAGGTCTGCTTATGAGTAAGAACATGTGATACTCAGTTCTTTGTTTCTGTGAGAGATCACTCAGTATTACAGACTATAAGTCCATCCAGGTTGCTGTGAAGTTCATGATTTTGTCCTTCTTTATGGCTGCGTAATATTCCATCATGTATATGTACCACGTTTTTTTAATCCAGTCATCTTTCAATGGGCAGCACGGTTGGTTCCATGTTCTTGGTATTGTGAACAGTGCTACAATAAACATATGTGTGCAGGTATCTTTTTCATAGAGTGATTTGAGTTCCTCCGGGTATATTCCCAGGAGGGGGATTGCAGGATCAATTTTTAGATCTTTTAGGAATTGCCAACACTGTTTTCCACAGAGGCTATACTAGTTTACACTCCCACCGACACTGTAGAAGTGTTCCCTTTGGACCGGGCATGGTGGCTCACCATGTAATCCCAGCACTTTGGGAGGCTGAGGCAAGAGGATTGCCTGAGCCCAGGGGTTCGAGACTAGCTTGGGCAACTTGGTGAGACCTTGTCTCTACAATAAATCACAAATACTAGCTGAGCATGGTGGTGTGCATCTGTAGTTCCAGCTATTTGGAAGGTTAAGGTGGAAGGATTGCCTAAGCCCAGCAGGTCGAGGCTGTGGTGACCATGAGCGTGCTACTGCACTCCATTCAGCCTGGGTGACAAGAGACTCCAACTTAACTAAAAAGAAAGAAAGAAATGTTCCCTTTTCGCCACATCCTCTTCAGCCTCTATTGTTTTTAGAGTTATTGATGATGATCATCCTGACTGGAGTTAGGTGGTATCTCAGTGTATTCTTTGATGACTAGTGAGGCTGAGCATTTTTTCATGTTATCTGTTGACTGCCCATGTATCTTCTTTTGAAAAGTGTCTATTCATATCTTTTGCCCACTTTGTAATGGGGTAGTTTGTTTTTTTTCTTTTCAACATGTTTGAGCTCCTTGTAGATCCTAGATGTTAGGCCTTTGTCAGACATATAGTTGGTAAATATTTTTTCCCAGTCTGTGGGCTGTCACCCCGCTCCCTTGATGGTTTCTTTCACCTTGCAGAAGCTTATTAGTTTGATGAGGTCCCACTTGTCTATCTTATCTCTTATGGCATGGACACTTGGGGTTTGATCAGGATTTTGTTGCCAGTTATAATTTCCGTAGTAGTGGCTCCTGCATTTTCTAAGGATCTTTTAGTTTGAGGTTTTATGTTTAGGTCTTTGATCCATTTAGAGTTGATTTTTGTGTGTGGTGATAGGGAGGGGTCTTATTTTATTCTTCTGCATGAGGTCAGCCAGTTTTCCCAGCATCATTTATTGAATAGGTTCTCCTTACCCCAGTGGTTGGTGGTGGAGGCTTTGTAGAAAATGAGTTGGTTGAGAAATTGAGAATCCAGAAGTTTTGCTTCTGGAATCTCTATCCTGTTCCATATGCCTGTTATTGTACCAATACCAGGTTGTTTTGATTATTGTAGCTTTATAATAAAGCTTAAAGTCTGGGAGTGTGATATCTCCCACTTTGTGTGTGTGTGTGTGCTGAGGATTGTTTTGGCTGTTCATGGTCATTTATGTTTCCATATGATATGTTTCTGTATTGCTGTTTCCAGGTCTGAGAAGAATGCTGCTGGTAAATTAATGGATATTGCATTAAATCTGTAGATTGCCTTGGGTAGAATGAATATCTTAACAATGTTGATTCTTCCAATCCATGAGCATGGAATATTTTTCCATTTGTTTACATCATTTTTAAAAATTTATTTGAGCAGTGTTTTGTAGTTTTCATTGTAAGGGTCTTTCATGTCTCTGGTTAGGAAAATGCCAAGGTATTTTTTGTGTGTGTGTGGCTATTGTGAATGGGATTGTGCTTTTTATTTGGGTTTCTGTTTGTTTGTTGGTGTATAGAAATGAAACTGCCTTTTGCACATTTATTTTATACTCTGAGACTCTGCCAAAGTTCTTTATCAGTGCAAGGAGGTTTTTGACAGATTCTCTTGGGATTTCGAGGTATAGAATCATGTCGTCTGCAAAGGATAACTTGACTTCCTCTTTTCCTATTTGGATATCCCTGATCTCTGTCTCTTGTCTGATTGCTCTAGTTAGAGCTTCCAAAACTATGTTGAAAAGTAGGGGTGAGGCCAGGCTCAGTGGCTCAGCCTGTAATCCCGCACTTTGGGAGGCCGACGTGAGTGAACTGACTGAGTCCGCAGGTTTGAGACCTGCTAGGGCAACTTGGCAAGACCTCATCTCTACAATAAATCAAAAAAATTAGCTGGGCGTGGTAGCACACACCTGTAGTTCCAGCTACTTGGAAGGCTGAGGCGGAAGGATCGCTGGAACCCAGCAGGTTGAGGCTGCGGTGGCCGGGAGCGGCCACTGCACTCCAGTCTGGGCGACAGAGTGAGACTCCAACTCAAAAAAAAAAAAAAAAAAGAAAAGAAAAAGAAAAAGAAGAAGAGGGGTGAGAGTGGGCATCCTTGTCTTGTTCCAGTTTTCAGGGAAATGGTGCCAATTTCTGTCTGTTTAGCAGTACAGCAGGTATCT